CCTCCTCACTGATCCAAAGGAAAAAAAAAAAAAAAAAAAAACAGGGAGAAGAGACAGGGAAGCCCCACGAGAGAGTGCCAAAAAAAAAAAAAAAAAAAAAAGAAGAGAACTCCATGGCCATGATCTTGTCTAGCTGAGAAAAAAAAAAAAAAAAAAAAAATGCCCCTCCTGAAGGGTCCTGGCCTGGGGCAGGACCTAAAAAAAAAAAAAAAAAAAAAAGAAAAGTCTCAGCAAAAACAAATGGCTCCTCAACCTGAAAAAAAAAAAAAAAAAAAAAGGACGGATCCCCCTCATCTGGGCATTGTCTGAGCCCTTCTCAGAGGATGCCACCCACGGAATAGCAACGGCAAGAGCTCCCAGTCCCACCCCCATCCAAAAAAAAAAAAAAAAAAAAAAAGGGCAGTGTGGGAAAGGGCAGGGCGGGCCGGAAATGAAAAAAAAAAAAAAAAAAAAACTCTGGCAGCTTCAGAAGGTCATCAGGCCACAGCTGGAAAAAAAAAAAAAAAAAAAAAAGGACAAGCTGCTGGGGAGAGGCTGTTTTGGGTCTTGGCAAAAAAAAAAAAAAAAAAAAACCTTCCTGCTTCAAGCCTTCCTTTTCCGAGGCCCCTGCAAAAAAAAAAAAAAAAAAAAAACCACGGCTCAGCAGCCCTAGATCCCTAGCTTCCTACTAAAAAAAAAAAAAAAAAAAAAGGCTCCTCTTTCTTTTTTTTTTTTTTTTTGAGACAGAGAAAAAAAAAAAAAAAAAAAAAGGAGTGCAGTGGCGCAATGTCGGCTCACTGCAAGCTCCAAAAAAAAAAAAAAAAAAAAACTCCTACCTCAGCCTACTGAGCAGCTGGGACTACAGGTAAAAAAAAAAAAAAAAAAAAAATTTTTTGTATCTTTAGTAGAGACGGGGTTTCACCACAAAAAAAAAAAAAAAAAAAAAATCCTGAACTTGTGCTCCACCCGCCTTGGCCTCCCAAAGAAAAAAAAAAAAAAAAAAAAACCACTGCACCCGGCCAAGGCTCCTCTTTCTTCCATGGAAAAAAAAAAAAAAAAAAAAAACCCAGCCACCCTCTCCCATCCTTACCGTGGGGCCAGGTAAGCTGGATAGCTAAGCTAAGCATCCTCATGGGTTCCCCACTGGGCCAAGGGATGATGGAAAAAAAAAAAAAAAAAAAAACCTCCCACATTCCTGCTGAGATGTGCACTAGCTGTTCTCAGGGGCCTCTTCACTCCCCGCCACCAGCTCCCTGGCTTGGCCTGAAGGGACAGGGATGAGGCTCTGACCTAAGGATCCTGTCACCCACTGTGGGCAGAGCACTCTCAGAGGTTGAGAAAAAAAAAAAAAAAAAAAAAAACATGGCCAGATGCAGTTAGGGTTCTCCACTATCTAGTAAAAAAAAAAAAAAAAAAAAAACACCTGGCTGGACAGGGTCAGGGTCAAGTCTGTGTGCAAAAAAAAAAAAAAAAAAAAAAAGGTGAGAGATATGCTTCAGTGAGGTCCACCTTCTCTAAAAAAAAAAAAAAAAAAAAACCCAAATCTCACAACCAGGTGTGAGGCTGCAGGCCTGGAAAAAAAAAAAAAAAAAAAAATTCTGCTTGTGCCAACCTCTCAGAATACTACAGCCAGTAAAAAAAAAAAAAAAAAAAAAAAACACTGCTGCTTCCCAAACCTCAGGGAGTCAGTATGAAAAAAAAAAAAAAAAAAAAACCAAATGAAAAATGTAGAAAAATCCCCAGCCCTCAGCTAAAAAAAAAAAAAAAAAAAAAGAGGAGCTAGGCAAAGAGGTAACAGTCACGCCAAAGAGAAAAAAAAAAAAAAAAAAAAAAACTGGATTAGTGACCAAAAAGTGGGACAGGGAAGCCCAAAAAAAAAAAAAAAAAAAAAGATCACATACACATGTCCCCTGACCCTGGCACTCAAGGAACCCAGGGGGTTGTTGGAGGGTTCTGCCAATGGAGCCTTGGGCCAACACTGTGAGTAGAAAAAAAAAAAAAAAAAAAAACTGGATTGCATGACCTCCGAGAGACAACCTGGTTCCTGAAAAAAAAAAAAAAAAAAAAAGCCACCCTTACACAATGTCACTGATCTGGCATTTTGTGAAAAAAAAAAAAAAAAAAAAATGTCTCCCATAAAATCCACGAATCCATCTCCCAGCATTAAAAAAAAAAAAAAAAAAAAACAGTCACTTTACACAAGTTCCTTAATGTCCCTGACACTAAAAAAAAAAAAAAAAAAAAAGGATTATAGTAGCACCTGCCTCTTGGTTTTGTTGAACAAAAAAAAAAAAAAAAAAAAAACCCACTGCCTGGTGTGGTACCTCGCACACACTAAAGGCAAAAAAAAAAAAAAAAAAAAACCCGTCGTCATTCCTGAGGGCCTCCCTGGCCCTCTGTCAAAAAAAAAAAAAAAAAAAAATCACTTCTTAAAGCCTCCTGAGCCAAGGCACTCAGTGCAAAAAAAAAAAAAAAAAAAAAGTTTGCACCCACTTCCCCTGGTGTGCTCACCACCATGTAAAAAAAAAAAAAAAAAAAAATGCTGTGTCTGTCTTCCCAGGTGTGGCCCCTCTGCTGCAAAAAAAAAAAAAAAAAAAAAGCCCTCCGGCGGGTGCCCTCCCCACTCTCAGCCTCCTCAAAAAAAAAAAAAAAAAAAAAGAGGTTGGTGTAGCTGACGAGCTTGCCCAGAAGAGACGATACCTTTGGGCGGATGTCCAGCTCTTCCTGTAAACAGAGCCACAGGGCAAGATGGCATAAAAAAAAAAAAAAAAAAAAAGTGTGAAGCCAGCTGCCTGATCCCTGGCCTTGTTCCAAAAAAAAAAAAAAAAAAAAAAATGATCCCAGTTCCTGCCTGGGGAAGCCCAAGCCATCCAAAAAAAAAAAAAAAAAAAAAACACCCCAGGACGTGGCACTCAAAAGGCCCAGCCCCGCGAAAAAAAAAAAAAAAAAAAAATTGGCTACAATCACTGCCAGCCCATTTGTGAAAACCACAAAAAAAAAAAAAAAAAAAAAAGGGAAGAACACGCCTGGCAGGCGGGCAATGGCACACTTCATCCTGCCTGCTCTGCGCAGCCACCTCCCAGCTATGGCTGCACCTCTAGGACTCACGAAAAAAAAAAAAAAAAAAAAATCACCCTAGTCACCTCAGGGAACAAAAGAGGGCAAAAGAAAAAAAAAAAAAAAAAAAAAAGTCTCTCTTGTCTGCTCAAACCCTGATCTCCCTGGATAAAAAAAAAAAAAAAAAAAAACTGCGAGTACCCACGTCAATCACAGAGATGAGATCCTGAAAAAAAAAAAAAAAAAAAAACGGGGCTGGGCCAAGGCCTTCACTGCAGAACCTTGCTGAAAAAAAAAAAAAAAAAAAAACCCAGAGCTCAGGCTCCCCAGCCCCACCGGGGTCTAGGAAAAAAAAAAAAAAAAAAAAACCTTCTTGATGCTGTGCCTCCACCTGCGTCCTGCCCACAAAAAAAAAAAAAAAAAAAAACAGCTCCCTTCTGACCTACACACAGGGAGAAGTTGCTTAAAAAAAAAAAAAAAAAAAAAGGGCCCTTGGGGGCATGTGGAGATTGAGGAGCCTCAGCAAAAAAAAAAAAAAAAAAAAAATAATTCCAGCACTTTGGGAGGCCGAGCAGGAGGATCAAAAAAAAAAAAAAAAAAAAAACAAGCCTGGCCAACAGGGTGAAACCCCGTCTCTAAAAAAAAAAAAAAAAAAAAAAAAAAGTGGCAGGCGCCTGTAATCCCGGCTACTCGGGAGGCTGAGGCAGAAGAATCACTGAGCTTGGGAGGCAGAGGTTGCAATGAGCCAAGATCGCGTCACAAAAAAAAAAAAAAAAAAAAAAGAGTGAGATTCCATCTCAACGAAAAAAGAAAAAAAAAAAAAAAAAAAAAAAAAAAAAACATTATTCAGCCATACAATGGCTGAATGCGTGGGTCAGAAAAAAAAAAAAAAAAAAAAATTTTAAATCCAGATCTCACTGCTCAGCTTGAGTCTGAAAAAAAAAAAAAAAAAAAAAAAAGGCAGATATTTGGGAATCTTTCCACAGAGGTATCCCCAAAAAAAAAAAAAAAAAAAAAACTCGGGAAACTAGAGGGAGACAGAGCTGGAAGAGCCAAAAAAAAAAAAAAAAAAAAAATCCTCGGGAGAGCGAAGAACTATGGACTTGGAGAAGAAAAAAAAAAAAAAAAAAAAAAAGAAATCCTGAGTTGGGAAATCCTAAGCGGGCGTTTCCTAAAAAAAAAAAAAAAAAAAAATCAGAGGAGAACAGTCCTGGAGGTAGCAATGGGGGTGGAAAAAAAAAAAAAAAAAAAAAAGGCAGTTTCAGTTGAAAGGGCCAAGGGAACTGCAGCCAAAAAAAAAAAAAAAAAAAAAAGACAAGAGGAAATGAGAGGAAGAGCCAGACAGAGGAGGGCCATGTGTCCAGCCTGACTGCTTAGCTAAAGCCTCTGTCTGCCAAACCTGTGACCCAAAAAAAAAAAAAAAAAAAAAAAAACAGTGCCAGGTTCCTGTCATAGTAGTCACTTCCTCAAAAAAAAAAAAAAAAAAAAAGAAAAGGGCTGCTCTCTCTGTGGTTGCCATGTCCTGTGAAAAAAAAAAAAAAAAAAAAACCTGCTTCCTGAGCCCCCCCAGCCTGTGCCCCTTCCCAAAAAAAAAAAAAAAAAAAAAACGTTTCTGTGGAGCACTTTGGAGCTGCAGTGTCACCAGAAAAAAAAAAAAAAAAAAAAACGCACCATGCCAATGCCCTTGAAGGGCCAGAGATAGCCAAAAAAAAAAAAAAAAAAAAAACCTGGGACATCATTCCCTCCAGTGAAGGGAATTCAGGTGAGGCAGCAGGCACCCTAGCACAAGCACGTGTGGACACTGAGGGGCGGGGCCTGCGGGAAAAAAAAAAAAAAAAAAAAACCGCCCCCAGATCCCCTCCCCGCCCCAGTCCCTTTCCCAAAAAAAAAAAAAAAAAAAAAGTGCAGGATACCAAGGGCTCAGTGTCCTCAGGGACCACAAAAAAAAAAAAAAAAAAAAACACGAAGCCCCACAGAGCACCTTCGGCTGCCATGGCCCGAAGGTGGCTGGCTGGCTACCCCACTATGCACTGCGCGGCGGCATCCTGCAGGGCAGCCAAAAAAAAAAAAAAAAAAAAAGCAAGCCCTAGGCAGTGGAGAGCAGAAGTGGATGCCAGAAAAAAAAAAAAAAAAAAAAAGAAAGTCGGTGGGTGTCGGACTGAGCAGGGAGAAAAATAAAAAAAAAAAAAAAAAAAAACAAAGGCAGCCAGAGGTCAAGATAGTCCACCATGTCATAAAAAAAAAAAAAAAAAAAAAGAAGCTCTTTGGACACTCTGTGATATCTGCTGTGCCCTAAAAAAAAAAAAAAAAAAAAAAGTCCCAAGAAAAATCTGAAAACCCAGTAACACTCTGCAAAAAAAAAAAAAAAAAAAAATGGCCCTTTAGTGAAAAGCCTTTGAAAATTACTCTTGGAAAAAAAAAAAAAAAAAAAAAGTCTCCCTTTGATAAATCAGATGCTTCATTTTGTCAGAAAAAAAAAAAAAAAAAAAAAATCTTACTTCTCTTTCTGCTTTGGCTGCCAGGAATCTCCAAGCTAAATTTACTCTTTAGATAAAGTCACCATCTGTCTCATCTCAGAGTCCTTGCCCCAAAAAAAAAAAAAAAAAAAAATCTTCCTGAGAGTAACAATCACTTGGGGAGACTCTTTTAAAAAAAAAAAAAAAAAAAAATTTTGTGGAAGTTGGCTGGAAATCAATTAGAATTTATTAAAAAAAAAAAAAAAAAAAAATGCCCCATCACTGTTGCCTAGTCTTTCTGGGGAGACTGTATTGCTATCCAGAAAACATATAGCTGGGCACACAGCAGCTCCCCCACAAATGCCTGTAAAAAAAAAAAAAAAAAAAAAACTATCTCTTGTCCCTTCAGCCATCACTCTAGGATGGCTAAAAAAAAAAAAAAAAAAAAACTCTAGTTCTCACAGAAACATTCCAGTAGACAGCATTTAAAAAAAAAAAAAAAAAAAAAGAGTGAAGTTCAGAGATGTTCAGAGGCAAGGCCACCCAGGCAGAAGGCCACATCTGGGTCCCAGGGTCCATCAGAGCCAGGTGGGGGCTGGGCTGCAAAAAAAAAAAAAAAAAAAAAATCCAGTCCATCTATGCAGCACAATCTTTAAACATAGAGAAAAAAAAAAAAAAAAAAAAAGGGTATGTACAGCCAGGCCTCTGCACGTTCAGACTGCGGCAGACTGGCTTGGATTCCCGGCCCTTCCCCCGTGTGACCCAGGGAAACCTGCTTACTCAAAAAAAAAAAAAAAAAAAAACTTCTATGAAGTGGAGATGGTAACACTTGTTTTTCCAAAAAAAAAAAAAAAAAAAAAAAGGGACAATTAGTGCCAGACACCCAGCGGGCACTCCTCGAAAAAAAAAAAAAAAAAAAAAGGGCTTGTGGGAATGTAAGGGTCTAAGCAGTGCCTGGAAAAAAAAAAAAAAAAAAAAAACAGACCTCCTGTTCTGGCCTCAGCCATTTCAAAAATTCAAAAAAAAAAAAAAAAAAAAATGCCAGGCCGAAGCTGCTCAGACACCACTTGAGATCCCAAAAAAAAAAAAAAAAAAAAAAGGCCTAGGGACTGCCTGTGAGCTACACAATTGTGTTTAAAAAAAAAAAAAAAAAAAAACCAGTGGCAGGTGGGGATCCAGGTGACCCTCCTGATTCAAAAAAAAAAAAAAAAAAAAATGAGGTGCCCCCTCCAGGACCTCCCTACCCCCTGCCCAAAAAAAAAAAAAAAAAAAAAAAGCCCATCTAGGCCTCCCAGAGCAGAGGTGTGGGCACTAAAAAAAAAAAAAAAAAAAAAATGGATCTGAGGCTCACTGTGCTTTGTGCCCTCTGACCAAAAAAAAAAAAAAAAAAAAATCAAAATCACTCACCGGGGCTCAGGATGTCCCCCATCCAAAAAAAAAAAAAAAAAAAAATGAAAAGGAGTAAGAGGAGGAGAACGAGGAAGGGAGGTAAAAAAAAAAAAAAAAAAAAATTGCGGGAATCTAGCAGGACTCAGCCAATGTAGCTCCAAAAAAAAAAAAAAAAAAAAAAGGGGCCAAGGCGTGGCCAAGGCGGGGCCAGCAGCTAGGCTCAGCTCTCTGCCTGCCCACTGGTCCAGGCTGATCCTGGGGATGCAGCCCAGTCCACCAAAAAAAAAAAAAAAAAAAAACAGGGTTAGGAAAGCAGGGATGCTGGCTTTTGCTTTGAAAAAAAAAAAAAAAAAAAAAACAGATAAGGGCATGGAGGCTGGGGCACTCACACAGCTGAAAAAAAAAAAAAAAAAAAAAAATGTCCAGCAGCCCATGCCACTGTCCTGTGCTACCTCAAAAAAAAAAAAAAAAAAAAATGGTATGTGTGTGATACACACACATAGCCATAATTTACAAAAAAAAAAAAAAAAAAAAATCATCATCACAGACAGATCAGAGGTCCAGATCATGTCAAAAAAAAAAAAAAAAAAAAAAACTTCCTACATATCTCCATCATGATTGGTCACACATATAAAAAAAAAAAAAAAAAAAAAAAATCACCATCCTCATCACTGTCAACCCTGCAGGAAACAAAAAAAAAAAAAAAAAAAAAACCTGAACCAGACTTCACACTGTGATACCCACAGCCACAAAAAAAAAAAAAAAAAAAAACACATGCATAGGCCACTACATACACAGACACACGTCCTAAAAAAAAAAAAAAAAAAAAAGATGGGCCTTAACAAGGGGGCCTCTTGGGGTAGGAGATAAAAAAAAAAAAAAAAAAAAAGGCAAGCACCTGGAAGGAAGGAGGAGGGAGATGGGGCTTACCTCTGGGCCCTGGCACTAGGTTAAAGAGTTAAGGTGCTGGAATCTCACACCCAGGCAAAAAAAAAAAAAAAAAAAAAACATAACCGCCACCCCTCCCTTCACTGCTTCCTAATTGAAAAAAAAAAAAAAAAAAAAACGGGTGATGCTGGAGATTAAACGTTTGGCTCCGTGTTGAGTGCTTCACAGAGGCCCACTGTCCCTATAGATCTACACCGGGCGCACTCACAGGCAGTAAAAAAAAAAAAAAAAAAAAATACACTCTGGCCAGAGTGCAGGTTGGCGCAGAGAGGCAAAAAAAAAAAAAAAAAAAAAAGGGCAGAGGGTCGTCTCACAGGCAAGGCGCTGAATCTCAAAAAAAAAAAAAAAAAAAAAAGAGGATGTGGGATTCACCGAAGGTGAAAGGCCGGGAAAAAAAAAAAAAAAAAAAAAAACCCTGTCCCCAAGCCGGGCGCCCCGGCCGGCTGGCCTCAAAAAAAAAAAAAAAAAAAAACCCCCGCCCGCGGCCCACAGGGGAGGAGCTGGGGTGGAAAAAAAAAAAAAAAAAAAAAACCGGGGGCCGAGGAAAATCGTGTCTGCGCGCGCGGGGCAAAAAAAAAAAAAAAAAAAAACGGACCAAAGAAAGTTGAGTCCACACCGACGTGTGCGCAAAAAAAAAAAAAAAAAAAAAGGGCGCGGGCCCGGGATGGCGGCCCCGGGTGGCAGGCCAAAAAAAAAAAAAAAAAAAAATCAGAACGCGCCCTCACCGTCCGAGTCCTCCCGCTCCGAAAAAAAAAAAAAAAAAAAAAAACTGAGCCCCTCGAGGCTGTCATAGTCGCCGCGCCGCAAAAAAAAAAAAAAAAAAAAAGTGAAGTGAGGCATCGCGCACACTCAGCCCCGCCGCACAAAAAAAAAAAAAAAAAAAAAGCTGTCCCCGCCGCCCCGGGCCGACACGCCCCGCCCGCAAAAAAAAAAAAAAAAAAAAATCACTTCCTCCGCCCGCCCCCCGGGCCGCCCCTCGGGGAAAAAAAAAAAAAAAAAAAAAGGCCGGCTCCTCCCAGAGCGGGGGCCCTGGTGGCGGGAAGACCCCTAGGCGGGGGCACTCCTACTGGCTCCATGGCCTGGGGGCGGGCCCGATTCCTAAAAAAAAAAAAAAAAAAAAACGCCCTCTCTGAGCCCCAGATGCAATATTTGTAAAATGAAAAAAAAAAAAAAAAAAAAAGGGGTTATTTTAGGGCTCTGTGAGATGGGTCGCGGGGTGTCCTTGCTCTGCGCCCTGGACAGGGCAGGGCAGGCCGGACCGGCCCAGGACTGCGGAAAAAAAAAAAAAAAAAAAAAAAGCCATCCCCGGATACCTCCTTCCCATTTCCAGCGTCTGAAAAAAAAAAAAAAAAAAAAATGGAAACCGGACCCCCGCGAAGGTCCCGTCCCTGCCCTAAAAAAAAAAAAAAAAAAAAACCTGTTGGAGGCAGCTGGGGATTCTCGGTCCTTCCCCAAAAAAAAAAAAAAAAAAAAAAGGAAGAACACCCACACCCACCCTCCCGCGCCGCGCCTGAAAAAAAAAAAAAAAAAAAAATGTACACTGGGTGCTTTAGCCAAGTCCCTTCATTTTAAAAAAAAAAAAAAAAAAAAAAACCTGGGTGTTCCTCTACGCAAGCCGTTTACTTATTTGCAAAAAAAAAAAAAAAAAAAAACTTCTCCACTGCTTCAGATTACTTATCTAGTTGGCTTTAAAAAAAAAAAAAAAAAAAAAAAACCCCGGAGCCCATCTTACTTGTCTATCTCCACCCTTCTCCCTCACGTGGCTCGGGTGGCGTCCTCTGAATACGCCTCCTACTAGCCTCCAGCTCAAAAAAAAAAAAAAAAAAAAACAGAGCCGCTGGGCCCCGCGAGACGACCCCCGAGCTTAAAAAAAAAAAAAAAAAAAAAAACGGCCCCCGCGGCGGGCGCCGCCGACCTGACCCACCCAAAAAAAAAAAAAAAAAAAAACGCCCACAGTAGCGTCCTTCCTACTGGACTCCTTGCCCAAAAAAAAAAAAAAAAAAAAACGCCTCTTCCAAAGGAAAATCCTACTAGCTCCCGGCCCATAGGGCCCTGCCCAATGCGGCCCGACCCCGACCTCTGCAGGGGCATACTTCGCCACCCAAAAAAAAAAAAAAAAAAAAAAAATCTCTCTCTCTCACCTGAGACTTGTGGAGTTTCTGAAAAAAAAAAAAAAAAAAAAATGGGGGACATCTACCTAGCCTCTGTCCCTACCCTCACTAAAAAAAAAAAAAAAAAAAAACGGACGGTGGCTCACGCCGGTAATCCCAACACTGGGGGAAAAAAAAAAAAAAAAAAAAACTGAGGTGAGGAGTTTGAGACCAGCCTGGTCAAATGGTAAAAAAAAAAAAAAAAAAAAAATACAAAAAAATGAGCTGGGCATGGTGGCGGGTGCCTGAAAAAAAAAAAAAAAAAAAAACTGAAGCAGGAGAATCACTTGAACCCGGGAGGCGGAGGAAAAAAAAAAAAAAAAAAAAACCATTGCACTCCAGCAAGAGCAAAACACTGTCTCAAACAAAAAAAAAAAAAAAAAAAAAAGGCCGACCCAGTGGATCATGCCTGTAATCCCAGCACGTTGGGAGGCCAAGACAGGCAGATCACAAGGTCAGGGATCGAGACCATCCTGGTTAACACAAAAAAAAAAAAAAAAAAAAAAAAATACAAAAAATTAGCTGGGCGTGGTGGCCGTGCCTAAAAAAAAAAAAAAAAAAAAAGCTGAGGCAGGAGAATGGCATGAACCCGGGAGGTGGAGAAAAAAAAAAAAAAAAAAAAAGCCACTGCACTCCAGCCTGGGCGACAGAGCAGGACTCTAAAAAAAAAAAAAAAAAAAAAGCCACCTGGGAGGTCGAGGCGGTTGGATCACCTGAGGTAAAAAAAAAAAAAAAAAAAAAATCAAGATCAATATGGTGAAACCCCGTTTCTACTAAAAATACAAAAATTAGTCAGGCGTGGTGGTGGGCACCTGTAATCCCAGCTATCTGGGAGGCTAAAAAAAAAAAAAAAAAAAAACCTGTGAGGCGGAGGTTGCAGTGAGTCAAGATCCCACCAAAAAAAAAAAAAAAAAAAAAAAAAAAGAAAAAAGAATATGGTGGTTAAGTGCTTAATGAAAAAAAAAAAAAAAAAAAAATCTTACATTTCTGCTTGTTCTTTTTTTTTTTTTTTTTAAAAAAAAAAAAAAAAAAAAAACCAGGCTGGAGTGCAGTGGTGTGATGTCGGCTCACTGAAAAAAAAAAAAAAAAAAAAAATGCCATTCTCCTGCCTCAGCCTCCCAAGCAGCTGCGACAAAAAAAAAAAAAAAAAAAAATGGGCTAATTTTTTGTATTTTTAGTAGAGATGGGGTTTAAAAAAAAAAAAAAAAAAAAACTCGATCTCCTGACCTTGTGATCCGCCTGCCTTGGCCTAAAAAAAAAAAAAAAAAAAAAGCGTGAGCCACAATGCCCGGCTATTTATTTTATATTTTAAAAAAAAAAAAAAAAAAAAATTGCCCAGGCTGGAGTGCACTGGTGTGATCTCAGTTCAAAAAAAAAAAAAAAAAAAAAATTCAAGCAATTCTCATGTCTCAACCTCCTGAGTAGCTGAAAAAAAAAAAAAAAAAAAAAATGCCCAGCTACTTTTTGTATTATTAGTGGAGACGGGGAAAAAAAAAAAAAAAAAAAAAGATCTCAAACTCCTGACCTGAAGTGATCCGCCTCCCTTGGCCTCCGAAAGTGCCAGGATTACAGACATGAACCATTGTGCCCTGCCTCAAAACTTATAAAAAAAAAAAAAAAAAAAAAACAGTGTGGTATTAATATGATAAACACATAGTCCAAATAAAAAAAAAAAAAAAAAAAAAATATAGACCCTTGGTTTATAACATAGGTGGCACTGGAGAAAAAAAAAAAAAAAAAAAAAGGTTCCCATGAAAGGAACTTAGATCTGGCTCTGGCCCAAAAAAAAAAAAAAAAAAAAAAAGGAAGAGGCCGTTCGAGTGAGTCATGCAGACCCCATGAAAAAAAAAAAAAAAAAAAAATTTTTTTTTTAAGATTTGGTGATTCTGCACCCCCACATAAAAAAAAAAAAAAAAAAAAAAAATCAGAGGACCTAATCTGAGAAATCTTTTACAAAGGAAAAAAAAAAAAAAAAAAAAACAAGTTATTCTTTTTTAGGGGGGTCGGCGGGAACAGAGTCTCACTCTTTTGCCCAGGTTGGAGTGTAGTGGTGCAATCTTGGCTCACTGCAACCTCTAAAAAAAAAAAAAAAAAAAAACTCCTGCCTCAGCCTCCCAAGTAGCTGGGACCACAGGCAAAAAAAAAAAAAAAAAAAAAATTTTTTGTATTTTTAGTAGAGACGGGGTTTCACTGTGAAAAAAAAAAAAAAAAAAAAATCCTGAACTCATGATCTGCCCGCCTCCACCTCCCAAATAAAAAAAAAAAAAAAAAAAAACACCGCACCCGGCCAAGTTCTTTATTCTATAAATAGTAAAAAAAAAAAAAAAAAAAAAACACATTTAACCTCTTGGAGAGAAACTGGGAAGCACCCCAAAAAAAAAAAAAAAAAAAAAACTGAAACTGAACTCACTTCCTTTGTGTTCTTCTGTGGAAAAAAAAAAAAAAAAAAAAAATTTCATAGGCCGGGCGCGGTGGCTCAAGCCTGTAATCAAAAAAAAAAAAAAAAAAAAAACGGGCAGAT